TGGACGGAAGCGTAGTACTGCCCAACGTGTTGTTAGTGACAGCTTCGAATCTTTGCAGGAGAACAGCATTGTTGATCATGTATGGCATCAGTGTGTAACATTGGCGAGCCCGAAGCCTGATTCCACAGCAGACCTGGCATGTGTCAGTTGCTTTGGACGCAATCAACCCCGGGCATGCAAGGCATGGGCATGTTTAATGGCATGTTTGGCAAGCCACGTCGACTTGAGTGGCAGGAAGGTGAGCCGTCATGCTTTGGCATGTTTAGGGGTATGTTTAAGTGGTGTGAACGGAAGAGTTGGGGACTTGAGAGGTAGGAAGGTGAGCCGCCATGCATTGGCATGTTTATGGGCACGTTCCAGTGGTGCGAACGGTTTTTGTGGGACGGCAATGCCAAACAGACTGCCAATTCCGCGTCTGTTAGTGGCAAGGATATGTTGCAGAGAAGCAGATGTGTAGCAGAGTCGGCTCCGAGAGCGTCGCTCACGGAGGGAGAACAAATCGGAGCAATGAAAAATCGGGACTAAAGGTGAGATGTTGTTGCTTTGAAAACGTGGCACAGAGAGCCGCAAGGTAAGCAGTGAGGTTTGGGCCCGGGGAGGTTTACTTTGGAGTTGTGCAGGCATCTGTGAGAAATGTGGCCGCAAGGTGGGCCGCCGTGTATGCAAACGGTCAATGCGTTGATAGGGCCCTAAAGCGAAAAAGCGGAAGAACAAAAATGTAGGACGAACATTCTTGAAGCCGTGCAACTGTCTGCAAACCATCAACCGATGGAGTGGAAAAAGGGAAATGTTGGTTGCTTGTACTTGGTCTAATTTGAACGCGTGTATTTTGGCAGAGAAGAACGCCAGGGCGACTGTAGCGTTGATGTGAGGGCAAATTGTTGGCATGTTTTGATTGGCATGTTTTCATGGTGCGAGCAGGGGTATATTGCCTACCGCTTGTTTCTTCCTGGCCAGCACAGGTTGCAGAGACTTGCCGCGAGTCTGCGTGAGTAGGAGATCAGAAGTCGGGGCCCAACGAAACAGACGAGCGATTGCAGACAGAAGGTGTCAGACAGGAAAACAACATGAAACAACGGTGTGTTGCACCCAGTGACTGGATGGCAGGCACCAAGGGTTGAAGGAAGCAGCGCGGAAAGAGTTGCTTCTTGGAGCGGGTGAGGTGAGGGGTGAAGTTGTGAAGGGGGAACGCAGTGACCGACAAGCATTGTTGCAGGCGCACGGTTCGTAGCAGTTTTGGTGACGGGTCTGAATGTTTCGCATTGACTCTGTGGTAGCATGCACAAATGGCACAGCAATTCTTTCGAGAATAGAATGTAACGGAGTTTACGTGTCAAGGGAGCATCCACAAAGATGTGATTGGGACAGCTTTAGAAAGCATGCTGCGAGTCATGATGTTGTGGGCAGGTGGGTCGGTGAGCTGCATGAAAGAGGGCAACGACGAGGCCAGGATTGGGATGGGCATGGTGCGGCAAAGGAACGGTGATGGAGAAACCACCAGGGTAGGGTACACTTTGGAAATCGGAAGGCAAAATTGGCAGGGAATGGCAAAGGGTGGAGCTGGAAATGCATTGGCAGGCTTGGCCCAAGAGAGAGCTGGAAAAGGCACAAGCACGGACATAGAGTAGAAAGCAACAGAGTTTGCAAGATGGGAAGCCAAGTTTCTGAGGGGCAGGGAAAAGAGTTAGACACAGAAATCTAGCTTCTTCCTGGCTGGTTTTCTTGTACCTTGCCGCGGCCAACGGCTGCGGGTGCTTAACGTTGCTTTCTGAATCGGCAAGGAACTGGCTCCAACCAAACTGCAGCTTTCACAGGCCTCCAAAACGGCCACTCGCCACACCGAAACAGCTTGCTACTGAAGGACGGAACGTGCCCTCTGCCAACGGCTGCGGGTGCCTAACGTTGCTTTCTGACGCGACTAGAATAGCTCCAAATTCCAGCTTGCAAGCCTCCAAAACCTTGGCCTCGCAGCACCGAAACACCATGAAACTAAAGGACGGACGTGCGTCGGCACTTTGACACTTGCTGCGTGTACGACTTGCTGCGTGTAATTGCTTCTCTGACGTGCTTCCCCTGCTGTCGGCAGGGGTCGGCGGATAGATTCATATAGTCATGTATCTGTATATTCTGTTAATCATCATCATTGATGGCACATGGCGTGTTGATCATCAGGATGTACGAAGAGGTCATGGCGGCCTTTCCTGAAGCCAAGTTTCTACTGACCATCTCGGAACCAGAGACATGGCTTTCGGAACGATTTGGGGGTCTTTCTGCTGGATTTTTTTTGGATATTTCATGAACTTTATACCAGCATGTAAAGGGGTGCCTAATGAATTTCAAAAATTGAAGTTCTTAAGGGGTGCCTAATGGACACCCCTTAGCGTTCATGGAGATGGCACACTGGAAAATGATTAGTTCCAACCCGAAATCTACCAGTCCTACCCCAATGGGCATCTGTGGTGCACCTGACTTCATTTTTGGCGAGAAGAAATGCATGTGTGATTTCGTGTCAGATGTGAAATGTTTTCGAATCTTAAGCAAACTAATCAAAATCGACACGAAATGACACGCACAGGGGTTGTCCAAAAAGCACCCGACACGTTTATAAGGTGTGCTTATATTGGACACCCATTTGCCTAAAGGGTGTTTATTGCATGGACACCCCCTACCGACCGACACGACACGGCAATGACACGCATGTATTTCTTGATTCAAAAAAAATGTCACCCCTTTTGACCGACACGACACGGCAATGACACGAAATGACACACGTTTCTGGAAGCAAACGTGGGGAAATCAAAGAAAAATGCACATACTATTATGAATACCTCATTATCTGTTAATTCAAAAACTTAAAAATTACGGGGTGCCTAATGGACACCCGTGCAAAGGGGTGCTTATTGGACACCCGTTCGGACATCCTGGTATACATATTTAATCATATTTATAGATTTGTTAATGTACAAATTTCTAATCACTACGGACATGTTTCGCCAAACGAGCCTGGCCTACCAGGAAAGCTGGTTCAACAACTATGTGGAAATCGTGCAGATGATGCACAATGCGAGTTCGAACTCTACACCAATGCCAGACTTTATGGAAGAGTGTACCGCCATGCGATCATGGGGTTGTCACATGATCAATTCCACTGAAGAACAAAAAGCAACCTGGCTTTGTTTAGTTTATTTTAGTCTGAGATTGGTCATTTTTTCAGCAATCCATCATTTTGGGAATCGATTTTCAGGGAAGATTCTTTAATTTGTCTGTGTGGAGCCCCTCTTTTTTCGAATCCAAGGCAACGTGTTTAGAGAACTATGATCGTCACAATCGACGTGTCTTGGCTATGCAGGTGACGTGTTTTTTGGACTCCCACTGGTGAGCCCAGACAGGACCTGGACAAATTCTGAATCCTTTTTTGTGTTTAAGTACAGTATCCGGTACGGTCAATCATGGCTAACAAATTAAATCAAACAAATCAACAATGATTATTGGTTCATAGCGCTTCTCCGAAATTTTCCGGCATCCGAAATCCATCCAGGTGTACAAGAAGTGATCCCCCCTGAGCGTTTGCTGGTCTACAATTGGTCGGATGGCTGGGCCCCACTGGCGCATTTCCTCGGCACCGCCATTCCAGAGGAGGAGTTTCCACACGACGATCCGGTGCGAAGTCATTTTGAAAAAGTGTCAGGCCAAACGTCGGAGATTTGATGACATGGAAGGCCTTAAAAGGTGGTTCCGTTGCTGGGTGCAATTTCTCAAGCAGCGCGCGAAATTCTGCGGGGAAAAGATGGTGAAACTGTTGGCCAGGGAGTCTAAAATCATGTTTAATCGTTAAAATCTGACGAGCAAATATGGCATCATCATCATCATCATCATCATTGTCATTGTTCTGTTTGGATCATTGTTATATGTTTAATCATTACTATTATTGTTTATCGTCATTATCATGTTAGGGTGAGGTGGTCAACCGGCTGGTGGTCAAGCGCCGTCATGATTTTTCTGACTGCTTGGTTTCGACGCGGATTCCCGGTTCATGGCTCTTGCTTTCTTTTCCAAGATTCTAAGATACTGGATGAAATACTTCCACAATCTATCATTTGAAATCAACCATCATCAGTTACATCCACTTACATCCCCATATTTTGATGGTTGTAGCGCCCTATGAACTGACGAACTAATCATCAACCAAAAGCGGGGTAGCCACGGCAGCCACGGCAGCCGATGCCCAGTGAATGTGGGTAAAGCCTATATTTTCAAGGGCCATTTTTAGGTTGGTTTTTTTGCAAGCATGTAATATCCTGTTATATACTTTTATGGTAATATTGGTGATGGTTGATCATTTCCTCTAGCTACTAGCATTTTGTGCAAATGTCTCAGATCATTTGGGGATGATTCCCCTGATATAAACCGGCAAAAAAACACCATTTATTGGGAAAGTCGGGTCAAAAAGCAAGTAGTTCTAACCCATTAATTAACACCATTGACTGGGAATAATGAACCCATAGCTTTCCACCACGCAGTTCTCCCACCCTCAAGCTTTGTAGCGCCAACCTTGCAGTCGTCCAGCCGAACAAAACAGGTTTAGGGTCAACTCATTCGTCACCAAGGCCATAGAATTACAACCCATGGGCAAAGGCCCCACACCCCAGTGAAATGTTGGTTTATAAACTGAGTTAATACTAGTTCATTATAATGTTCATTATGTTCCTCCACAAAGGCAGCAGTTTACCAAGTGATGTTTACGAACTTAGCTTAAACAGGGTCCAAAACCTGTTTTTGTTGAACTGGATTACTGTAGTCCTCATAGATCAGCTCGAAAACCCGTAAAAATGTATCAAAATCCCAATTTGGTGTCGGTTAACCCTTAGTTGTAAGTCAACGTAGCTATGTTTGGTGGTTAATATCCCATCAATAATACATCATTTATGTCCTACTGGCACCCTGCCAAGCACCACATATACCCTGCCAAGCGTCGGGCTGAACCGAGCGTATCAAATGCCATGGCAGCGATCGCACGGCAGGTGAGATCTCTCCTGATGTGAGAAATGGGGGTACCCCAATTGCTGGATGGTTTGTAATTAAAAAAATCCGACATAAAATGAATGGGTACGCCCATTTTAGGAAACATCCATATTTAGAATTGTATATCAATCAGCATGACACCCGTAATGATGATACCAATTTGATGCTAGTAATAATGTTGCCAATAAACTTCATCATGATTAATGATAGTAATCATGATCATATTAATGAGAATGCCAATGCAAGTAATAATCGTAGTAATGACGATGATAATAAATGATAAGGCTTTGTCTGAAAACAATTGTACCCCCATTTTATTTATGGATTAAAATCATGTTCCTTATTGAAATAGCATCAAATAGCAATTTAGGGGTATACTCCATTTTCAGACACACCACATGTTGGCTTACAATCATCATTGGTCATCATCAACCATCATTAAGCATCATGTTTCCTAGTAATAGTAAACAGAAATAAACATATTAATAATAGTTAATAACAATAATAGACACAGTAATGATAATTATGATACGTAATGAAAACCATTTCTATTATAATGATAATTCAATATTCATATTAGTACGGGAAAATTAGAGTAATCATATAATATGATCATAGTAATAATATTAGAGTAATCACACAGTATTCATATTATTAGACCCCCGACCCACTTTCATATAGTAATGATTTCCTGTAGATTTTCCCTTAAACCAATCCATTGATATATTATATTTAATTCCTATTATAATAATTCAATATTCATCATATCAAAGTGATGGTCAATGTGGGTCAATCAAAGTTAATAGTAATTCCTAATTCATTTTTATAATAGTAATCATTTTATTCATCTTATTAGAGTAATCATGCAAGATCAATCATGATCAATCAATATATAGATTTAGATTTACACACACATATAATATATATATATATCCATTATAGGCTACTCAACTTAATATCAATATATATATATATATAGAGATTTCCTGTCCAATCAAAGTGAGTCGCAGGTCGTTTTCGTTGCGCCGCGGCCTTGGGCGCGTCAGATCCAGCGCCACTTCGCCTTCTTTGAGAAGGCGCTGGCGGCATGGGATGGGGACCGTGGAACCCAGGTACCCACTTGGCAGTTTGGAACCCCCAGAATCCTAAGTGGCAACTGATGGATTTTTAATAGGATTTAATGGACTTCAATGTGCTTTAGGTTTTTGCTTAATTGATTTTATTTGGTTTTAATATAATTATATATATAAATGAATATAATGGCTAATAATTGCTAATGATTGTCATGAATGGTTAATAACTATATAATATTGGCAATCTAATATGGATGTGTATGATGTGTCTGAAATGGGCTATACCACCAATTTGTTTGCACGTTAAAATAGGCGAGTCGTGACTATAAACCATTGGATTTAGGGGTACAATCGACACTGCGATAGTCAAGTAGTCTCTGAAATATCAGTCAGTGTGATAAATTTCAAGTTCCATCTGAAAGTTCTACCGAATTACTGAATTAAATTGAATTAATTACTTCTTCGTATGCACTGGTGAAGCTGCTATGTGGTGCCCCCCCACTATGTTTGCTGTGGGTTTTAGACGGTGCAATAATTAGAAAGAAAACCATCATTAGAAATATACTGAGACTGGTTGGTGGTTTGGAACATGTTTTATTTTTCCATCTATTGGGAATAATAATCCCAACTGACTAATATTTTCAGAGGGGTTGAAACCACCAACCAGGTGATAATCTCTGAAACCTCTGAAGTAGCTGGTGAACAGCCCTGGTGATCATACATCCCCTAAGTAGATGGTGCATGATGGTGCTATTTATAGGTTGCCAACCCACTTCCTAGCCAATTATCTACTCGTCACTATGTGATGCCCAAGAGATTTTGAAGTGGAAAGCAAATGGTGATATCACATTCAGCGAAACAACGGATTGACTAGAATATCAGGAGAATTACCCAAATTAAAACCCATAGGATCCATGTATGCTATATATGGTAACATTTACCATCAATATACCCCCAATATTCGCATGTCTACCATACATGGATCCTATGGGAAATAATGTCTGGATTGGTGAATATTGCACATGGAGATTGATATTTTTCCTCCACTTGTATACCTTGCAGGCAAGCATCTCGAAGTCAATGAGCATGACGAACTCTAAGAAACATGCAGCCAGGATGGCAGAACATATCACAAGATTTCAAACAGATTCCAGCCAGGGACCTGTCACCCGCAATGGGGATTGATATCGATTTTCCCTCTTCTATATACTCCAATATGGATTAGATTTTGCCATTCTTCCCTTCAGAATGCCAATGAATTGTTGCTTCAATGCGTAATACCCTGTGGCAATCAAATGTGGCAATTCGCAATTTCTGGAGGATTTTCCCATTAAAAAATACGTCCATTTATAGGGGATTTCCCATTGCCACGTTTGATGACACCGGAGGGTACTTGTTTATTTATTGGCTACCCAGCCATAGTTCTCAGCCACAAGTTCTCGCTATTGTTGAATGAACTTATCCCATTTTGCACTTCCAGCTTTGCCTATTAAACATACTGATGTTCCATTGCAAACTCTTAAATTAGCAGAGGGTACGCATGGAAACAACCTGGTTACCCAGTAGATTGAGATTTAGCCGTGGAAAATCCACGAATCAGTATAGATAATGTTCAGTAAACCCTGGTTTTGTTTTTCCATATTAACAATTATTAACCTTTACTAACCATCCTTATCTGGTTGGTGGTTTGGAACCTTTTTTATTTTCCATAATATATGGGAGAGTTCTTCCCATTGACTTTCATATTTTCAAGATGGTTAAAACCGCCAACCATCCTTATTAGTTATTTCAACAGATAACAAAAACAAAATTAACTATCCATTAACCATCATTAACCATCATGAACTATCACTAACCATCATCAACCATCATTAATCACAATTCACCATAGATTAACCATATATTAACAATAGATTAACCATCATTCACTATCCAGATAACATCGTTTCCTCAATGCCAAACACACTGGTTATGACCAGCCGTAAAAATTCCCCATGAGGCGTCCGACAAGCTTCCAACGGCCGCGGAACGAGGTGGAGAGAAAGCCGTTGTTTTTTTTCGCTCGTGTTCAACGGGTTGAGGATGGTTAAGGATGGTTGGTAAAGGTTACTGTCATGAAAATGGTGAATCATGGTTATATAATGATGGCTAGTGATGGTTGGTAAAGGTTAATAACAATGGTGTAGCATGGTTAATGATATTTTTTGGTGGAATAACATGAAATTTCGATGGTTAGTGAAGGTTAATGATGATTCATGATGGTGAAAAGCCAGAATGTGGTATGTCTGAAAATGTGGTAGACCTCCAAAATGACTATTCTAATGGGGAAGATGATGATAGGGATTGGTGGATGTGGGGATACCCTATTTTCAGACAAACACTCACATGTCTTCTTTGCGTACAACGCGCTGCCCCAGTTTGTTGGCTAAGTTGGTAACCTTGACTAGACAAATTTCTAGGGTGTATCATATAGATATACCAAATATATCAAACTCAAACTATAATTATATAATTGATGCGGGTAATATGAACCAAACTAACAATGCTTGGGGACACCACACTGTAGACCTTGGATGGGTCATTTAATGCTTCAACCTTTGTCGGATGCCCTGGCCAAGCTGATGCCAAGCCTATGGCACCTCATGGCACCTTTGTTCTCCCATCATTAAACCAACAGTCGGACTATGGGGTCCCCATAACAGCTTATCTATGTTTGGGTCCCCCAGATAAGATTGTTGCTATAACTGGAATATGAGATTATCATAGTATATCAGCAGTTGATTTATTTCCATCTCAGGTTTGAACCATTGATAAACTATTAAGAAGCTACGGATGGATCCAATTCTCTCCATGTTTTTCCCCTGCAAACTTTATAAACCCCTTTAAAAAAAAACAAAAGTTGGTAAATTCCCACTAGAATAGTGATTATCCTCTGGTAATTTAACATAGACCCTGAAAATAGCCTAGTTTTAATGGAAACTAATCTTCCAACCACTATCTGCCAGGGTCTATGTTAATTTACCAGAGGGGAATCGAACCTCTTCTGCATATGGGGGTGGAACCGCATGTTTCAACCAGCAACGTGGTGGAACCGCACCGGTCACAGGGGCGCAGTTGCGCAACGACTACGCGGACGAGTTGCGAACTTTGCCGCAGCATCTGGGATTCCATGGGGGGGATGAGTCATGGACGGATTCATGGATACATAAATACATTCACATATATCCATATATATATATATATATCATATATATATACATATGTATATATACATATATATATATATACATACACATATACACACTCATACAACCCCCTCCAAAGAAATATACTAATATCTGTATATACATACATATCTATATACATATGCACATGGATGAATGGACGGTTTCATGGGATATCCCATTAATAGTATAGGGACATGATATTTGGTATATACCTAAGCAACAAACATATGGAGGTTTCCGTTTTGTCATGGGGGTACCCCCAAATCATCCAAGTCGTGGATGACCATGACTTGGTATTGAAACCCATGGTTACTTGGAGATCCCCCATTTTCAGAGACCCACATATTATGTATATATATATATATTTTTTTTTTCTAGTGTTCAATGTTGAAGTTTAACTTCGCATTTGTCAAATACTATGTTTGACGTGATTAAACATCGGATTTGAGGAAAATTCCCCCAGTCAAACATTGTTTTTTGAACAAATACCATGTTAAACATCGCATTTGGAAGACTAGGTGTATATATATATATACATAACACTTAGTTCCATTGATTAAATCCCCATATTCTATCCCTATTGGAACTAACATGAAGGATATATGATATATATATATATATATCTCTCTCTCTCTCTCTCTTATATCCATATCCCCATACCTTGAGGTATTCTGTGGTTTATGGTTGCCATGGTTGCCATGATCCAACGTGGGATTCCTGAGGCATCCTCTGCCGCAAAACGCCCCGCCGCCCGGCGCAGTGATTCGCTGCACCCACAACCGCCCTGCGGCCAGTGCCGGGTGCGCCCGGAGCAGGGGGCGCCACGGAGACGTTGTGAGGTGATGGGAAACCAAGGAGGGATGGCTTTAAACCAGGGGATTTTTCTTCAACCATTTTTTTGGTGATATGTTTCCATGAAATGTCATGTAGATGATAGATATTGATATAGATGATACAGGTATTTAAGGGTTTTTTCCTAATTTACCTATCTCGGGGGCCCAGTGTTGAAGTGTTTCTTTGAGTTTTCGCCACTCAGAAACCAAACTTCCCCTTCCACCATTTTTTGGGTGATATTTGTCCAGAGATGAAATGTCTAGATGATAGATATTGATATAGATTATATAGGCACTAAGCCAATCTTTGGATGTTTTCATGTGACATAACCAGGGATCTTTTTATGGGGGCTTAACCCCACCAATTTAGCTGGAAAAGGCGGAAAAGGAAATATGTTTTTAAACGAACTCCAAAACATAGAATTTAATCAACCAAAATGGTGGTTTGATCCATGAAAGGGAAATTAATCAACACAACCATGGATTTTAGTGCCAAAGATTGAGATTAAAACAACAAACATTGGGATTGAAATAAGGACGAGGACTTAACCAACAAACATATTTGAACATCGGGATTTTTCAGGGTTTTTAACATGTTTTTTTGCACCAACAATCACAAGGGATTCCCAAAGCCCCCATCAATGATGGCAGGTCATCCAGGTGCTCCATGGTTTGCTGGAAAAGCCGGATGATTTTCCCAGAAAGCTTCGGTTGATGTTTGAAATTGCCACGTTTGATTAGCGGATGGTATATCTCTAGTCTTGGATCCCTGAAGGAAAATCACATTTCCGTTGCCTCATGATTTCATTCCCAGACTCGTTGTTCAAGGCAATATGTGGAACTGTTTTACCCCTATATGCCCCCCAAAAATAATTATAAAGCAACTTACAAAAAAACAGACGTAGACCCACCTACCGCTTCGGGGCCTTCACGAAAGGCCTCATTTTCATGATCCTTTTTGGATCATGATTCCCTAGGCGAAACCCAGATGGCCATTTGGGGGTGTATTATCCCATTTTCAGTCACACCCAAATGGAAAATTGATATTCTCATGGATATATATATATATATATGGGATACTCATGCATATAAAGGGATATATATATATAGGTGATATACTCATGTTTCTTGTTAGTTGGCTATATATCCCTTTGTATATCCATGAATATCCCATCGAAAATTGATGGTTTTTCATTCCTTTCCTATGGTTGTCCCATATGTTTGCTGGTTAAAGTCATATTCGAGGGCGAACAAAAATCCAAACTCGCCATGCCAGGTCTCGCTTTCCTGCACAGCTGTATCCAGGCCACTGTCCGGGCTGACATGGTATAAACTTGGATTATACACATAGTAATCATCCAATAGATGGAATATGCTCAAAGATATATGGATGACTTTTTGAAAAGTGCATGTTCTATCTATACTTCATATATAATCATACATACACAGTACATAAAATTACATTTGACATATATTATATACATACATACATATATATATATATATTATATTATATCTATTAATTATATATATATGTGTGTGTTTCTTTGCTTGGAAAGCTAGTAATGTGTTGTCGATATAGTTGCCAAAATGGCCCTGCCATTTTGGCTCAAGTCTTCCCCCTTTTGAATGATTTGTGTCGAAATTTGCTCTGCCTTTCTTTTGCCATCATGACCGCAATGGAAGCGACTAGTCCTTTGGCATCTGAATCGGCAACCTTGGATTCGATCTCGTTGGCGGATGCTGCTTCATCCACAGGGGAAGATTTTCTCATGCTTGACACTCCCAGACTGCTGGTTGGGCATCGTCCAGTCTGGGAGTGTCAAGCATGAGAAAATCTTCCCCTGTGGATGAAGCAGCAACCACCAACGAGGTCGAATCCAAGGTTGCCGATTCAGATGCCAAAGGACTAGTCGCTTCCATTGTGGTCATGATGGCAAGAGCTTTGCCCAGGGCCCCTTGCGGCCATTGATGGAGGTGGCAAGATACGCACCATCTACAATGGCAGTTGGGGCCACGCCAACTCCCATATCCAACAAAACACGGGGGAAAAGACCGCCCACAATCATGGATTGTATCCAAGCCATTCACTACCCTAATCCTCAAAGCAGATGTTTCCAAGGCCCTCAGCCGAATCAAGGTCACCCAGGAGGGGTGGCGATTTCAAGTGGCACAACTGGACGGAGAATGGTGGATCAACAAGGTGGGCACCTATGGCATGGCAAGTGCCCAACTTTATTGGGGCCGGATGGCTGCCATATTGCTCAGACTCTGCTACTTGATCTTCCCACACACCGACTGGGGCTTTGTCTTCGTTGATGATTTCTGCTGGCTTCTTCGGACTTCGACAGCAACTCAGGACACTGCGCAACTGTTGCTCTTCCTGGCAGCCTTAGGTTGCCCCTTGAGTTGGCACAAGACGGTACTCTGAGAGGTCAACACCTGGTGGGGTTTCCAGGTCAACCCACGTGGCGCGGTGGTTGATTTTCCTTTGGACAAGAAGAATACCCTGGGGACACTGCTCAAAAGGATCATTGATGGCCAATCCTTAACACAGGATCGAGCCTGCTCATTTTTTGGGGGTTGATTGTACCGGCTGTTTCAAGCTTGTTTGTGAGAGCTGTCAACTCAAAACCAACTTGTTGATGACCATGGACTTGGATATCACGGCATATGACTCGTTGGGAAAGATGTGTCTCAAGTTTTTGATCAATAAATCATTCAAGTTTTTCAAAATTCTTCTTTGCCATTTCACGTCATGTTTGCTTTCCATGGGCGAGAGAGTCGTGTTGCCGAGCTGCCGCGCTGCCGCTGCGCATTTGCTGCTGTGCAAGGCTGGGGCGCAGATTTTGAAAAACAAATATGAAACTTTGACTGAATGCAGGTAGGCAAAAAAAACATTAGATGCAAACGTGGTGTCATGTGGTGTCAAAAACACGCCTAGAGGCCGCTAGTGAAAACACAAATGAGATTCAATCTGTCAAATAACAGCGTGGAAAAGGGTGCCACACTTCATCATCCATTTGTGACTCCCCGCAAGTTTCAAGCACCAAACAAAGCGCCGTACCGTGTGCACTGATGTCAAAGCTTGGCTTCTTTGCCACCCGGCTTGCAGCGTTGGATGAGCTGGCCCGTGGAGAGGTGAGCTTGGCTTGCCAGGCGACTACGTGGGATGCGGCCAGGCAGCTTCTCATTGGTGAGGGGCGCAGCCTGGCTGTGTCAGTGAGTGGCCCGGAAACCGCAACGAAGAAGCTGCAGCTGAAGCCTTCTGGAGCTCCGTCGTGGCAGCGTCTCATCAGCACGGATTGCAATGCAGATTTTTAGGTCACCGCTGGAGGGGCTCTATAGATTTGAACAAAGTTCCGTCTTCTTCTTCTCTCTTCTTTCCTGTTCGCCCCCTTCCAGCAGCAGCAGCAGCAGCAGCAGCAGCAGCAGCAGCAGCATTCTCCTCTAGTCCCTCGTCTCTTTCGCTTCTTTGACTAGCAGGAGAGTAATATGTAAGGCGAGTGACTAGATCATGAAGTACAACTAGAACTGTAACATCAATGCAAACGACCCATGCATCAACAACCCATTGTAAAATTGTGGCCCAGCTAGCTGGCTCCCACAATGTCGCGAACGATGGTGCTCTTAGCCGGGCTCCCGCGGTTCCAGTGCAGAGAAAACCCCATGTGTGTGTGAGGGTCCGCCGGGGTTGCACCACTTGAATAGATGGCAGTTGATCTCCCGGGGCAGCTGGGGTTGATATATGTTTACATGTCAACAGGTTTTAGATTTTCACCCATACCTAAATCCTATGTTTGTTGGTGCAACAAACGTTTTTTTACCCAAAGAGCAATTTCATCATTTTTGTTGAGCCTCGTGATTATCCCTGGTTGATGGTTTACAGGTGTAAAAACAAGGGAAGGTCCCCTCGAGGGCGTCGTGCGTTTTTGAACGCACAACGCCTTTAAAACCTGCATTTCGTGAATGTTTTACAAATGCATCTTCCAAGAGGGGTCTCCGAAGTAACTTTTTTTTAACCTCATCGCGCATACATTGCTTTCAAAGCTTTGGACAGGTGTGAGACAGAGTCGTTCTTTTCTTGACAGCGCCACTGCCAACTTCGGATGTACTGCAGCAATTGTGGGCTGACTTGTCTGCACAAGCGACCAGTAGATTCCAAGGTGTCTGCACTATGATATGAGCCAGAACGACGCAACAAGCAAAACCAAGGTGAAAGCCATGAAACAAAGCAACATTCAACTTGTGACATGAAGACATGAACATAAGCAACAAAGACGTATCGAAAATGTCTGAACCAAACGGAAGACATGAGATCATTTTATTTTCAAAACTATTTTGACAGCGCACAAACAAATGAACAGCGTGTCAAGAACGCACATGCAGGAACGTTAATAAACAAGAACGTTATCATCCCCCCCCAACCCCCCCCACCCCCCCCCCCCCCCCCCCCCCCCCCCCACCCCCCCCACACCCCCGCCATAAAACACCCTTCAAGCAACACAGCAAAGAAAATGCAACGACGCACACGAGAACAAGACAGCACGTGACACGAACAGCATGTTGCGACAGTGACAAAAACATGAAAAAGTGTCAAAAACGCACGACGCCCTCGAGGGGACCTTACCAAAAACAACAGCAAACCATTTTTTCATCTCGTGGTGACACCCGTATTTGGATCTACATGGGATACATGGGTTTGCCATGGTTTGCTTGAAAAATAGCGCACCACTAAATCCATTGGTTCATCACTATTTTCATTGAGGTGTCCATTTCGGTTTTTATTGATCCCGCAATCACATATATACCCAGTAATGACTCGATCACCATTGGACCATCCCATCAATCATACATATCATTAGTATAATATAAAACAAACCCATTATGAAAATGTCCATGGTTGGGATATAATGTTATATTGGGTGTAAGAAACAACATAACACATTGTTGTTGGGTTATGTATCCCATTATCACTGTGTTGTTTGAAGGAAAAAAGGTACAGGAAACCATCGTTTTTGCCATCAATTTAAGATCACTTATTGTACCGGTCCAATGACATTAAATCTTTCATTTGTGCAGTTTGGACGGGATCCTTCAAAAAAAACCATTGCATGTCTGGCCCTGACCAAGGCCACGTGATGCTTTTGCGATCTTTGAGATTTCCTTCTCCGACTTCCAGCAGTCGTTCAGATCAAAGCACGTCACGAAGATGGACGGAGGCATCTTGGTCAGTAGCGCTTCTGTGAATCTGGTGTTGCAATTTGTTGAAGTAGCCCAATTTCAGGATACGAAAACAAATTATCCTAGCGATATCATATGAGTTTTGCTGTTGCGTTCTGGTTTGAAACCATTTTGCGTTGTGGAAGATTTGGCATTGAAATGCCTTGAATAAAAGGTGATTCAATTTGAACACACAGGGTTTGTTTACAGACTCATTGCCCGCGACATGTTCATTTTGAGATACATGTGTTGTTTTACACAGGTTTTGTATGTGGTAGTAAAACTTGTTGATGACTATGGACGTGGATATCACAGTATATGACTCGTGGGGAAAGATGTTTCTCAGGTTCGCAAAGGTTTTTGATCAGGAAATCATGTAAGTTTTTGAAAATTCTTCATTGCCATTTCACGTCATGTTTGCTTTCCGTGGGTGAGAGAGTCGTGTCATAGTTGGGAGGTTTTTGCAATTCTTGACCCAAACACTAAAATGTTCAGTAGAAAAGGGAATTGTACATGGCCAAGCCTCCAAGCTATTCTTGGATGATCTCACGATGTGCCGATTCTGAAACTTTCTCCCTGTGCTGCTGCTGAGGAAAGTTTCGTGCCAACCTCAGGCAGCTTCTCATGGGCTTGCATGACGGCCGCATTGGTTTCTTCTTATTTAGGGGAATTCCAAGGGCGCTCGCTGTCTCCCAACACTTGGAAATCTTTGACTCTACCACGAAGGGATGTACATCCCATGTGAGTTGTGATGAGCCGACGAAGGGTGCGACGCAAAACTCGTGTGCTGCCCGTGTTCCGCACAGGCGATTTTGCCAAAGTCGCAGGCAAACTTGTGAAGGCCGTCAAAGTTTGAAAGATTGCAGCTGATTTTGTGAGTTGCCTTTTGCATACTGCTTGTGAAAGAATTACTTGTATCGCCGGTCACAACATTGCCCCACGTGCATCTTTCAGATTGTTGTGTGCATTTACTGAATTTCAAATATAATTGTGAAAACTTGTGGAAAAAACTCCCAGACCACGACTTCGCCGCAGGTGCTATGCGTGGTTCAGGAGGTCAACTCTGAAGCCATCTCGGTATCATTGGATCGATTCCGTTGGTTTGCCATGGGTGACAACAACCTGTCTTGCTGGCACGTGCTTCGCTTATTCCATCGGGCACGTTTGCTTGATATTCCCGAATCGCCTTGTACCTGGTTTCTAAACACAGGTCCAAAATGTTTTTCCATTCTCACCTGTTTCATCCTGTTTCGGTCTCTTGCCCAATTCCTTGCAGCAATCTGACATTCAAAGTGTTTTTGGAATGAGCAAACTTAGGTGACAGGTGGGATCTCTTTTGTCCCGGGCTTGCGATCCTTCGCAAGAGCTGGCGCCAAGCCTCCTTGTGGATCAAGTCCTCTTGCAGCAAGCCCATGTGTCAGCGGTTGGCAACAAACGGGACCAATTGTTGATTGGCGCAGTGGTGCGTCTGTTGGAGAAGGCAAAGAAGAAGGCTGTCCTGCGAAAAAAAGAGCCCCGGAAGCTCCAGCAGGCCAGGGTTATATATGAGCGGCTGAGCGGCCATCCTGCCATTGCTTCCATCTTGCCATCTTGCCAATCTTGCCATCTTGCCAATCCTGCCATCTTGCCATCCTGCTTATCCTGTCAAATGATCACGGCCATCCTGCTTTGCTGTAGCTGACATCTTGCCGCTGCATAAAGAAATTTTGATATAAGTCAGGATTGAGTTGAAAGATATATTTCTACTTTAATGGCTGATGTGGTTTGTATGAATGCCCCTGACTTTGGAGGTGGAAGACATGCTCGCAGCCTTTGAGGAATGCGGCCGCGAGACAGAATTCTTTGGATTCGATACGCTCGAAGAAGCTCTGGATATGACATGTCCGTTGTAGTTTGATGTGCGAGGCCGTCTCGATGCGAGAATCTTCCGCGATGCCCAGTCGAGTGCAAGAAAGTTGTCTCGACCAGCAGAGATTCCTTCTACTGCCTATGGTGCAGCAGTGCGGGCTGTGCGTGGTGGCAACGCAACAGTAGCAGCCCTTCCGGTAGAAAATTCAGCTGCTCGTGCCAAAACGCCATCGGCGCAAAAGGATGTGTTGAATGTATGGCTGGGCTCAGACACTGGCAAAGAGTGGCAGGCGGAACGCGCAGAGCTGTTCGGAGGAGTTTGAAAAAAGCTGCGGGGGAATGTGTTGGCATATGGTTCCTGGAAGCTGCTGGACTTTATATCACAACAGAAAATACGAAATGCTCACCAGCTGTACTCTTGTGTGCTTAGGGGTGCAAACAAATGACATATCAGAAGAAGGTTATTTTCTACACAAAACCCTTTGATAGCTAACATTGATATTTGATAGCTTGGATTAAAAGATTATTGGAGACCAGCTTGAGTATTGCGGAGGAATTTGCATGGTAGTGTCTTATGCAATGGTCGCCTGCATGGAGGTGACGCATTTAGAAAAGTGTCATGCAAATGCCAACCCCTTCCACAAGTCAAATTCGAGCCTCTAAACCCAGCATACATGCACTTGATTTGAAGTTGTTGGGAACAACCCCGTAACATCTAAGGACATTGAGCGAGCACTAGGCCGCCTGAACTGGGCAACCTCTGCCTGGCAACTCAGTCGCCCTTTTCTTCAACCCTTCTGGGCATGGAAGGCAGCTACTACCTCATCGGGGAGACCCAGCAAGCTCATTCGCTCCTTTGCTCAACTGCTGCTTTATCTGCTTCACCATCCTCAGGTCCAACCTTGCCCTTATGATCCGGCTTCTAACTGGTGGGGGGCTAGCGATGCCAGCGCACATCCAGATGGACGGGCCTACAGTGGAGGATGGCTTGCAGACAAAGGAAACCCATACACAGAGGACACATGGTGGTTCCACTGCCAGGTACCACTGGCTGACCATGTGTGGGCTCACAAAGATGGTGACCCCACCCGTCGAATTTCCACTCTGGAAATGTGCGGGACTCTGATCCTGACACACTTCCTCCTGCTCATGGGAGGAAAGGCTCTGCTCCGCACCCGGCTGAGCCTGATTTCCGACAACCAGGGCAACATCTTTGCGCTCCTGAACCAGAAGACCAAGCAAATGCCCACTTCTGCCTTTTTGATGCAGCTCATCGTCATGCTCCATAAGGCCGGGGTCCAACTTGCCCCCTCGCATGTGAAGAGAGATTTCAACAAGGGCTGATGAACTTACACATCCTCATTTCACGGGCTTCCGCCCGGGTCGTCAACTACCAGTGAGCGAGGCCTTTTCCCATTTCAAACTTTTATGGTCCCTTTTGGACAACCAACCATTGGGACCTAATTGCAAGAGACGTAAGGCCGATCAGAAGGCCACCTAAGGTCCAATGGAGCCTGGTGGTCGCGGCTGTTTTTCTATTTGGAGTGGTGGTTTGATCACCTGGTACTTCTAGCAACTATCGCGCGAGCCCCTGGCTTCGGCGGTCTGGTGGAAGTGCAGTGTGACACCACCACTAGTTTTGATGGGTTCCTGGAGGGAACCATGTTGATGAAGATGATGCATGCGGCATCAAAACAGAAACCCAGCCGCACAGGCCAAATGCATAGCAAAAGACGTAGTGCTGCTGCAGTTGCCTGCTAGTGAAAGCCATGTTCAATTCCATTCGGGAACACATATATACACATACATACATGCATGCATGCATGCATACATACATGCATGCATGCATGCATGCATACATGCATGCATGCATACATACATACATACGTACATACATACATACATACCATAACATAACATAACATAACATACATAACATAACATAACATAACATACATAACATAACATAACATAGCCTAGCCTAGCCTAACATAACATAACATAACATAACATAGCCTAGCCTAGCCTAACATAACATAACATAACATAACATACATACATACATACATACATACATACATTATATACATTACATTACATTACATTACATTACATTACATACATTACATTTCATTACATTACATTACATACATACATACACACATTACATTACATTACATTACATTACATTTCATTACATTACATTACATACATACATACACACATTACATTACATTACATTACATTACATTACATTACATTACATTACATTACATTACATTACATTACATTACATTACATTACATTACATTACATTACATACATACATAACATACATACATAACATACATAACATACATAACATACATAACATACATGACATACATGACATACATAACATACATAACATACATAACATAACATAACATAACATAACATACCATACATACATACATATAGCCACCTGTATTGTGGGATGGTAATCAATCGATTCATGGGAATTACTCGTAACCCATGAGGATTCCGCTTATGGGATGGATGACCATAATCCACACACACACGCTATAAATCCCACGAAATCCGACAAAAGCTACAAATCCCATGAAAATCCCTTGAAAATCCCATGGAAATGCTGGTTCAGTCCCCTAAAATCCCATTGTTCATCACTTTCGAACCTGGCGCCTGCCAGGCCATCCGCACAACTTCACGCCCTTGCGGCCGGTGCCCACGGGCTGGAACTCCACAGATCGTGTGCCTTGGCAAAGACGACAACTGGGATGATCCTCGTATGGTCCATCTTTGTGGTTCATAACCTAATAGGTTAACTGGTTGGCGGTTTGGAACATGTTTCCATATATTGGGAATAATCATCCCAATTGATTAATATTTTTCAGAGGGGTAGGTATACTACCAACCAGTTAATGATGTTCAATGATGTATTAATGATGGCTAATGACGGTTAACAATGGTTAATGATCATTATCAACCCAGGAGAATGGCGAATGATGTTTAATGATGGTAACCGTAGGTGTGTATCATAAATTTATCTAATTATAATACGTACATTCTGATAAAAGTATTTGCATTGCGTAGTATGAGCCAGTTGTCGGACCACTAGGTTATTACCAATTCCTGTATATCCTTCATGTGACCTTATAGCCATAGAGTAGTATGACTCACCCAGTAATGTCAAAAGTGAGCGACACGTGAGGGTTTTGTAGCAGTTTCCACTGCAACCACCACTACACTACACTACACTACACTACACTACACCCACCCCACTCCACTCCACCTACAGCAACAACTACAACTACAACTACACTACACCACACTAGTTACATTACACTCCACTCCACCCCACTACACTACAGTACAGTATAATACACTACACTACACCACACCACACTACACTACACTAACTACAGCTACAGCTACAACTACACTACATTACACTACGGTAACGCCATTTCGATATGTGGTGGGCGGGCCAGACCGCGAGGCCCCGGAGGTAGTTTGAAATATCAGTTCGCATATGTATATACATGTAGTTACCGTACACTACACTATACTCCACTACACCACACCACACCACACTAGACTAGGCTAGATTACACTACAGCACGCAACACTACAGCACACTACACTGCACTACATTACATTGCACTACACTCATTGCACCACACTACAACTACAACTGCAACTGCACCATACTAATTACACTACAAGTACAGCTACAGCTGCACTACACCACACTACATCCAGCAGTTGTGGGTGAGGTGGCCACTGCAACCATTGCAACCACTCCAAAAAACACAACTCCAACCACCTTTCGGTCCATCAGTGGATTCGCTCTGCCATCCATGCATCACAACAACTCACCTCCCCTATAGTGTCCTATCTTTGAAACTTCCGCCGCCGCCTTGTGCGGTACTATTGGTAATTACTGGTGAATCATTATTAACACATGATAACGGTGAATGCCGTTTAATGATGACAACCATAGGTGTGTATCATAAGTTTATCTAATAATACTTACATTCTGATAAAAGTATATGTATAGAGTAGTATGAGCCAGTTGTCGGATCACTTGGTTATTACCAATTCCTGTATATCCTTCATGTAACCTATAGCCATAGAGTAGTATGACCCAGTACATGGGAGAGAGAGGTTGTGATTTCACCATGAAACAATGTGATTGTTTACCATTTACCATCAAGCATGGGGACGTTCACCAACTAATTCACCAACTCATATATGGGATGCATACCAGAAACGGATGGTGAAATATTCTGCCCTAGACGAGTTGCACATTCATGTACGATACGAAGGATCCTGAAATAACCCAAATCATCTACAATTGGATTCTGCTTGTGTTGAAACCACTGTTGGGCCTTTGGGTTCACCCAGGGAAATGCCTGGATACATCCATCCAAAATTTGATGGGACCCGAAAACCATCCAAACTAACAAAATTTATTGGGGGAACTAGATGGTTTGGGGCGCCCATACTTTTTGGCGGTTAGAAATTGTAAATCCACATTTTCTTGATTGCTGAAATCCGGATCGTTAAACATATTGGTGTGCTCTAGAAATGGGCATCCCTAAAGATCCCCGAAGCGCGATTTTTTATGGACGAAATTACAAAATCATAAGGCACGGGATTTTAGACACGCTCCAATTCTCAGACAATATTTCCCGAATGCGTAGCAAGGGTTCCCGTTTCACTCTGGGGGTCTGGGGGTTGAGGGTGTGTTCGCTCGACGTTGCGTTTGTGGTCGCAACCGTCCGCAACCGTCCGCAACCGTTCGCAACCGTCCGCGCGAGGACCGTATGGCCGTGCCTATGGGAAGTTCTGCAGAGGTGGTAATTTTTGGAGGTTTCAGACGTGTCGTTGCTTCGTTTCGCGTGGCAGGCGTGGCACTTCGTGACATTCAGACGTGTTCTGGAACGTGTCGAAAGTCGTTTTGCGTGGCAGGCGCAATACTTTTGCGACGTTTTCAGAAGATGTGTTGCAGTTTTCGTGGCAGGCGCAGCACTTTGGACGTGTCCATCGTCATTTTTCGTGGCAGGCGCAGCACTTTAGACGTGTCATGTTGCGTGTTTTTTGCAAATCGCATTGGCAGGGCTGCGTCAAGTGGCGACAAGGTGCAAATTCCGTGGCAGGCGTGGCATTTTCTGACATGTGCTGAAAATTGACGGAAGCCTCGCACGAAACATCGATTTTGAGGTTGCAAATTTTCACGTTCTAAGGAAAACTCGTAGGAAAACGTCGATTTTGAAGCTACAAAGTGTGAAAATTGGAGGAAGTCTCGCACGAAATGCTCGTTTTGGTGCTCCCACGTGTCTCGTCTCGAGTCTCTGGTTTCCCTGTGGCCTCGCCGTGTCTATGGGGGAAGCTGGAAAACATGTTCTTGCGGCATGTTTCAAACTATGAAAATTGGAGGAAGTCTCGTACGAAATGCTGATTTTTCTGCATCCACGTGTCTTGTCTCGAGTCTCTGCTTTTCCTGTGGCTTCGCCGTGTCTATGGGGGAAGCCGCAAAACCTCTCCTTTTCGAAGGTTTCCAAGTAGCTTGTCATGTCGTTTTGCGTGGCAGGCGTGGCACTTTGTGACATTCCAACATGTTTGATAACGTGTCGAAAATGTCAAAATTGGAGGAAGTCTCGTACGAAATGCTCGTTTTTCTGCATCCACGTGTCTTGTCTCGAGTCTCTGGTTTTCCTGTGGCTTCGCCGTGTCTATGGGGGAAGCCGCAAAACCTCTCCTTTTCGAAGGTTTCCAAGCAGCTTGTCATGTCGTTTTGCGTGGCAGGCGTGGCACTTTGTGACATTCCAACGTGTTTGATAACGTGTCGAAAATGTCAAAATTGGAGGAAGTCTCGTACGAAATGCTCGTTTTTCTGCATCCACGTGTCTTGTCTGTGTGTCTCGTTTTCCTGTGGCGTCGTTGTGTCTATGGGGGAAGCGGCAAAACATCTCCTTTTCGAATGTTTCCATGCAGGTTGTCATGTCGTTTTGCATGGCAGGCGTGGCACTTTGTGACATTCCAACCTGTTTGATAACGCGACGAAAATGTTAAAATTGGATGAAGTCTCGCATGAAATGTTCGTTTTTCTGCACTTACGAGTCTCGTTTCGAGTCTTTGGTTGTCCTGTGGCGTCGCCGTGTCTATGGAGGAAATTGCAAAATGTCTCCTTTGCCAAGGTTTCAAATTTTGAATATACTAGATTGTTGGTTCAGTGAGGCTTGCGGTTTGTAAATATATGGCAAGAGTGCGATTATGTTGAAGGTGGAAAGTTGCTGTGTGGACTCATCCAGATTTCACACAGTGTTGTTTATATATTTTTGGTTCTGTGTCGGCAAACATTTCGGCTGGGCTCAATAGCAAGAGAACGTTAAGCAGTCACAGTTCATGAGGAATGTTGTTAGATCAAGGAAAATTTGCAAGATCTAGACATTTCGAATGATCGTGAGAGATATGCAAGCAAATGTCGCATGCACGGAAGTGGTGCTTATGCAGGCATGAAGGTTGATAGCGATGTTGTTGAAGATCTGTCTTTTTTTTAATATGGCGGGTCGCCGGTCCGCGCTGCAATGGCGTAAGCTTGCGCGCCAGAACTGCTTGCGAGGGCGTGCCGCGCGGTATGTTGCTGCTGCTGCGCTCTGGCTTGTCGCGGCTTGCGGCTGCTGCTTGGCGCTGCTGCTGCCGCTAACTATGCTGCTCGGTGTCCTTGCTGCGGTGCTGCTGCCGAGCTTTCTGCGCTGTGTGCAGCTGAGATATCTGCATGGTTTGCTGGGGCAAGAGGCGTTGCTTCTGGAGTTTGTGCAACGTGTGCCATACTACTGCATGATAATCGAAAACCCGAATGACATCGCAGTGCCTTGGCTTCATGTAACGCAGTGATGACTGGGCATGTTGATTCGATTGCAATTCTCCGAATGCATATGCTGCAAGGGGACTGTCTAGCGCAGTTGTGTTGGTTTTCCCTTTGTGAGCAATGCTTCAGTGGTCGCTAGAGTCATGTTTCTGTGATTGCAGCCTGCGAGTGGGAGATGACGGTGGTACGATTTTGCCGCTTCTGTTGGAAAGTTTCTTTTCTTCCCTGCGTACCTGAGGTGTTATGTGGGCTGACGATTGTTTTCGCACGACTTTTGGGCTTGCATGCGGACAGCGACTGGACGTGTCAAAGATACACGTTCATGTTGGTCATGATGTTTTGCAACGGAATTTTGTCGAAGATTGGTTGGACTACGTCGTGGCGGTGTCCCGTGTGGTTCTTGCTCTTGCCGTTTTCATATTATTATCCACTTTTCCCGCCAAAGAAAAAATCTGATGCGGAGAAGGCGCATATCGTTCGTGCTGAGCTCGAGCAATTTCTGGCAGAGCATGGGCAGATGCCATCGCAGCATGCTGATCTGCCAAGCAGTCGCTCTTTATATGCCAAACTGAAGAAGCTGAAGCTGCTGCATCTGTTAAAGCATGATTGGCGCCGGGGTGTTTGCGATGATACTTTGAAATTTTTTTGATTTGCACGGACGCATACCTCGGAGGCAAAATATGACAACGGAGGAGCAGCGAGCAGAAGATGCGCTGGCACGACGCTGGGACCGTCTTCTGGAGCAGAAAGCGTCACTTCCCAATGAATTGTTGAATGAGTATCAACGCATATTTGCTGCGGCCGATGTGGAGGTAGATGATGGCCACCTAGCTGTATGCATTGCAGTCTCGGATTTTTTTGACACAACCCGGCGGTTGCCGAAGCGGCAAGTGGGGGACAGTGACGAGAAGCGAGCAGAGGATGCGCTTGCTCAGCGTTGGGATCGCCTCATGGCTGAGAAGGCGTCAGTGAGCGAAGAGTTGCTGTCGAGCTACAGTGCTATCTTTGGTGCGGCGGAGATGGAAGTAGACGATGGTCATCTGGGTGTATGTGTTGCTGTCTCCAAGTTTTTTGACACAACCCGGCGGTTGCCGAAGCGGCAAGTGGGGGACAGTGACGAGAAGCGAGCAGAGGATGCGCTGGCTCGGCGTTGGGATCGCCTTATGGCTGAGAAGGCATCAGTGAGCGAAGAGTTGCTGTCAAGCTACACTGCTATCTTTGGTGCGGCGGAGATGGAAGTAGACGATGGTCATCTGGCTGTATGTGTTGCCGTCTCGGATTTTTTTGAGACAACCCATCGGTTGCCGAAGCGGCAAGTGGGGGACAGTGACGAGAAGGGAGCAGAGGATGCACTCGCTCGTCGGTGGGATCGCCTCATGGCTGAGAAGGCATCAGTGAGCGCAGACTTGCTGTCAAGCTACAGTATTATCTTTGGTGCGGCTGAAGTAGAATCAGATGACTCCACCCGGGCGGCTTGCACTGCAGTCCATGATTTTTTTCGGGAGGCACAGCGATTGCCAAGGCGGTTCAACCCCATAACTGATGCGAATCGAGCTGAGGATGTGCTTGCTCGGCGTTGGCATCGGCTGGTTGCATGTCCACCAGCAGTCAGTTCTGAGTTGATGGGCCAATTTGCTGAGATCTTCACTGCCATGTCTGACGCCTGGAATGCTGCAATTGAAAGCGGGTTAGCTACTTTTGTGGAGGATGTGTCAACGGTCGAGCTTTTTCATAGGTGTGTTGCATTGCAAGAAGATGCGGTGCAGAGATACAGCGGATCGGAAATTCAAGAGTTCAGAGCAGCTTGTGTTGCTTGGGTTTTGAAACAATATGAAGTTGGTTGCCAGGAGTTGGAAGGTCTTTCATTGGATGGGCTGGATGATCTGGACGATACCCGTGCATTTCGCGCTGAGCTGCAAAGTTATGTTGCGAGGACTGGCAGCCTGCCTCCTGCTGTTGGTGCCGGTCGCTCAGCGGAAGAGAAACGTTTGCATGCTGGGCTGGTTCAAGTTCGCAAGCGTCGCTTTGCTGCAGTGCGACGGGACAGAGCAGGTCGCATCATCGATTATGCGGCCGCTTTGCAAGAGACCCAGCTGGTTGCCTGGGAAGCGGTGTCGGAGTTTGGCCCATTTCTATGGAACCCGCGTCATGCCGCTGTTTTCAATGCAGTGCAACAATGTCTTTTGGATACAGGGGAACTTCCTGCTCGAGGACCGAAGAGCCCGACCGATGCTCTTGCCCAACAAGTTCGCCGCATTAGGCAGAAGACTTTCTTACCCGGCAACCAAAGGATGCGTTCTGCCGAACAGCAGTACTGGGAAAAACATTTCCCGCAAATCTGGTCCACCCGGCAGATGAAAGATTATTACATTCCGGGTGGGCAGTTGCAAAATGCAGATAGCCGGCATGTCTTCTATCGGACTCCTGTATCAGCCGGCATGCTGGCTTGTGAGTTGTGTGGCTTCAATTGCGACAACCAACTTGACTTTGTGAAGCATCTGCGCGACGAACACTTGCCTGCGCCAGCGGATGCCGCCGCGCACGAGCTGGGTCGCTGTGAGGAAGAGTACAGAAAGCGTATGGTTTTTCATGAAGAACAGTCTGGACCGTTTCCTGTGCCCGGTGAGCAAATCCGACGAGGGGTTGGATGTTATGCATTTCATCAGACCCATTCACGAAAAGCTCATGAAGCGAGGGAGCGCAAGTTAGAGAGCTGCGTGATCTGTGCTCGTTCTTGCTGGCTGGAAGACATGGAGCGTTTGAAGCTGTTTGTAGATGCCGAGAAAGCAGCGGTGGAGGGGCCAGGTGGCGATGGCCCCGGCGTGGAAGCAGATGATGATAGTGATTCTGATGAGGGAGAGAAGAAGAAGCATGGCTGGCAGGTCCATGAAGTGCCGAAGCAGAAAGTGCATTGGCTGCATCGCAAAGTCTTTGATGTTCGCAGGTATGAAAAGCTTTGGCCCAGCATTCCAAAGGATGAGTTGCTGGGCAGTTGTGTGTCCCATCCTTCCGGTACTTATGAAGATGGTGTTCCCTGGAAGTGGCTACTGAACACCAAAGTTTTGCCGGAGAAAGTGACGAGTGCGACTGTGTCGTTTGCCTGTTCCGATTGTGTTCGTGCCGTCACTGGTAAGCAGCCTCGCATGCCGAAGTATGCGCTGGCCAACTCATTATGGATTGGCCGTTACCCGAATGTCTTCAAGCACCAAGGTAAGCCTCTGTCTCCGATGACATTTCTTCTTTTGTCTTTGGGTCGACCAGTTGTGCAGAAAATTATTGCCGAACCGCACAAGACTCGTCCTGTGAAAGAGAAACAGAAGGGTATCCGAGCCAATACCATTGCATTCCCGCAAGCGCAATTGCATGAGTTAGCTACGGCGCATTTGCCGCCGCTCCCTGCCGAAGCGCAGCGCTTTCTATCGCAGACTATCAGCATTGCTCTTGTGGGTTGCACACCGGAGGCAGGCACGTGTGTTTTGATCTTTTGTGTTTGCGGGGAATGATGTTGTAAATGTTGTAAACAATGACCGACTGAGCGGTTGGAATGGGATGTAAATAATGGTTTTGTTTTTGTTCGACAATTTTATGTGGCCTGGAGGATCTCGATCGAGCGCAGTGGGCCGAAGTTCCTCGTGATGCTTATTTGGCAGCGGCACGATATTTGGTTGCTCACAATGTGGCTTATAGGCATCTTCGTGTGGACGAAGCACAGGCAGAGGCGCAATTTGTGGAAGTCGGTGGGAGCTGCGCGGCTATACGCTCGCAGGCGACCGCTGTTGATGTGACTGGAACCATGCCCATGAAACTCAGTGGTCCGGCTGATGTTGGAGTGGATCAGGATCCGGCGGCTTCTGGCTGCGCAGAGCCGGCGCCAGAAGCTGAAGTGGAAACAGACGATGTAGAAGAGATCGATGGAACTACGCACGAGCATATTCTGGAAGGAGAAGACATGCCGGGTCTGCGTTGTGTGGCGGGAGAAGTTGGTTCGGATGATCTTGATGTGGAGCGTGTCTTGAAGGAATTTGCGGCCAAATTGAAGTTGTTGATGAGCCGCCGCGGCAGCAGTGGTGGTCAAACCTTCGACCAGGACATGGACAGTTTTCGAAGGTTGGCAGAGTCCATGTCAGCAGCACAACTGCAGGACAAACTGAACAAGCTTGTAGCCCAGATGGATCACGCCGAAGGTGTCCAGGCGTCGGTCGATGGTCGGAAAAGTGTGCAGGTGGTGCATACTGGAACGGTTCCTTTGAGTATGTACAGTCCCGAATACTGGCAGAAATGTTTCCCAGAGATGTTTCCTTATGGTGATGGTGTCTATGGCATTGTTCGTGATACTCCTCTGACGTTCCGAGAGTGGGCGGCATATTTGTTTGAGCGTGCAGAACTGGAATATGAAGTAGCTGCTGCTGGAGAGGATAGTGCCGGCACTGGACGTGACACTGATGATCATGATGAAAATGTGAAAAGACGATGTGTTCGAGAAGAAACGAGCCGTTTCCAACCCCCTGCGATACCGCGGTGGGCTGGTGAGTTGAATTTTTTGTCTGTTGCGTGTGACACTTGGAAGAGAATGGAAATGGTGCGCCTGGCGTCGGCACATGTGAAACGCAAAAAGTTCAAGCAATCTTTACAAGCCGTTTTGCAGTGCACGTCTGAAAGATTGCGGGCAGCTGTGGCGGCTCTTGGAGAGAATGCCAATCTGGGCGATGTGATGCGGTCATCGGTGGTGGATGCAAACATTCGAGACGCATTATCTCAGCTCCTTTTCTTCTCCTCTGAAGTGGTGGGCACAGACGGAGCCAGGCAACAGTTGCGGCACGAACAGAACGGTGCTATGCTGATGTTGCTTGGAATTCTTAAAGGGCATAAGTTTTGGAAAAAGGAGTGTTCGCAATTTTCAGTCAGTGCCATCAGAGTCATACGAGAGCGATCATGTATTTCAGTACAGAACGGTGCTATTCTGATGTTGCTTGCAATTCTTAAGGGATATAAGTTTTGGAAAAAGAATGGGTCGCAATTTTTCTGTTGCCATAAGAGTCATACGAGAGCTTTCCTGTATGTCAATAGACGATGAAATTCATGACGCACCTTGAAGCAATCATATACAGTTCGGTTGGGCGACCAAAGCAACACAAAAACACTTTGGATATAGAATAACGTCACGTCGCTTCATGATACATAAAACTTTTATGAATGTGAGACATGTCGCAACTGAGGTTTGGTGGCATCGGAGGTTTTCTCACTCCCAACGTTGCTGACACGCGCAATCCATTGGTTGTAGTTCTGCATGCCGGATGCGTTGCACATCCAGATGGTGGATTTACAAAGGAGGGAGAGACTGAAAAGTTTCAGGTCTCTTTGCTCGATGAAAATCCATCCATGCCAACGGCATCGCGCATGTTAGAAATGCTTGCCGAGAATCCAGTGGCACAAGCTCGCTTCTTCATATTGTCCATGCGACTCTTTCTGCAGCATGTGCTTGGCATTGCAGCTTTCGATCCTCAACTCCGAGCCAATGGAACCAAGAATGGAGTTGAGTTCCCAGATGGCTGCATTGCAAGCTTCACTGGAGGATCGTTTGCTGCCATTGCGCATTTGCATGGCCCGATCGAAGAGCAAGCCCGTCTTGCTTGCCATCCCCACATCGTC